GGGGGGGGGGGGGGGAGGGGTGCTCTTAGAGAGTAGACTATAAAAGAAGAGGAAGGGGATGGGTAGTACTCTTCTTTCCTCTCCATTATCTCGCTTCTCCTTCCTACGTCTTCCGGAGCTCTCGAGAGAGCGAGAGGCGAGGCCGAAAGAAAGATTTTACACGCTCGCGTTTTATATAGTCGCACAATCTCAATGAGTAACAAATAATGCTATACGTGACGGAATTTCTCACGAATGTATTTCGCACCACGTACACACGATAATGATAATTTATAACTGCGAGCCACTCTGTTATATTCTCGGTGCTTAAAAGAACTATAAACGTCTGGTTAAAATATAAGCTGATATATTTTACGCGTGCTAGCATTACTGTTCCTTGTAGCTCGGGCGAGGTAAACTCGTCGGGTAGACCGTGTTGTTCTTAACGTGTCCGACCGTAGCTCAAAGACAGTAAATACAGGAGAGTCGTTACAAAGTCGACTCGTCGATCAGTCGTTCGGAATCGGCTTACTTGTGCACATCGAAGCAGGATCTCGCGTCGTGGAAACACATACCACGATGAATGTGATGAGCTTCGCGCAAGAGTTCTCGAGCTTGGTCATCCGTTATACAAAGGATCCCCTGCCGAATCCTTCGCCGGATGTAAAGTATCTTCCCGTTTTGCATTCACGAAACGTTATTCCCAAACGAGAATAACACACGTAGTCGCAGCAGCAGTCACGAAGTGGCAGCGTCGCGCGCGCGCGCGTAATAATTCGCAATGATAATCTACGAATGCGTCGCGTGTTCCAGAACAATCAGCCGGCGAATACGCCTTTGACCAAGCAAGAAGTAGCGAACGTTGTGAGCAACGTGCTCGCTACGCTGCTCGGAATAAGTGATATTGCAGCTTGCTCTTCCGTCAAAACACCGACCACCGGAATCGCCGGCGCGACTCCGGCAACCCCGGTCGTGCATAACATCAATCGGGACGAGAACGATAGGAGTGCATGCAGGTTACTTTGAAGCATTACGTAACGCGATCTCCCGCGAGAGATCGGCCATACATCGTGCGCTGTATCAATTTCGCCGCGACGATTTCAGATTCAGCTCCCAGGATATTCAGGAAACTCCGCGGAATCGTGGCGCTTCCACTACCGAGTCGAGCATCGATAAGAAAACGGAGAAGACCACACTCGAAGTGTTTCAAGATGGCAAAAAGGTAACGCAGAATCGTAACGTCGCCTCGTCGGAGGGTACTGATGGAGAGCGCCATCTTTCTCTTATTAATCTCTTAAATCGGCAATATTATTCGTTAATCACATAATTACGCGGTGTTTGCTATCACAATACTCGATGCTGCGAGTAATAGTGAATAATTATCACCGAAATAATTAATTCAAATCTAAATAATTTCGTCGAAATAATCATCTCAGGTTATTCGTTACATCTGGCACGTCGTCGGTCTCAACATGTCGTATTTGTTCGTAGTTTATCTCACGTTCGAGTCCCGCGATCTGCGTCACGAATATCGGCAGATCTGACACTTTCGTCCTCGAGGAACACCAAGCCGCGGAGGCCGCTGGCGACTTGAAGAAACTCAACGATCCCTTCGCAAAGGCCGATTTAACGGATGTTTTATTGCAATCCCTGAACGAAGCACGGATGTCCGCGATTAATTTTATAGCGAAGTTGGATGATGTGAAGAAGGTATGAGCAATTGTACGAGATGAAACCGCGTGCGAGATATCACGTTTGCGTACACTCATTTTCTTTTTACAGCAAGCGTTCCCGGAGTCCTTTGCGCAACCGTTAAACACGCGGCGATTATCTACGAGCGACACCAATTACGGTCGAACATCTATACCAGCCAGGATGCGCAGGTCGATCAGCGACTTCCCTGGAACACCAACATCGTCTAGATCGCTTTCGACAGGATCGCAGGATGCCGTGGACAAACGTAAAAATTCCGGTCATGCTTCTGTCGATGCTACGTCTCGGAAATTGAGCTTGGTCGCGCCGGTGACTCGTTCGGTATCCAATTTAAATTTGTCATCGAGTAACAAGTCGTTTGATTCGGGTAGACCCACGAAGAATCCCAAGTACGCTCACGTGCAGAGCACCATACCGAAGCCAATTTCTAGCAAGCGGAAGGCGCCATAATTACAGTGAAGCCCCTCCTTGTTCAAGGCTGCCACTTTCTAAATAAATAAATTAAATTAAATTTTTAATTTATTTATCGAATACTCGATTGACTTTGTGATTTGCAATTATGTGTGATGTAAAGGCGTTAAATGCCAATAAAGCCTTGTTGTATTCCTCTTATCTACGTTGTGACAACGCTTATTTACAAGATAGGGTTCGCGTCGCGCGTCAAGTCGGCGCAAAATCTATCCATAAATGATCGCGGATTTATCGTCACGGAATTAACATCGATATAGAATTGTGGAACTGGTATCAAATTAATATCGATGTACGATGGAAGTGAAAACATTTTTCAATCGCGCACGACACGTCCGTGTGTCATGACTATTGATTATTCGACGAAGTGGCAAAAATATATCAAATATTAATGTGATGTCAAATAAAAATGTTTAACTTCTCTTTCTCCCTTTATTTATTTAGAAGAACGGATTTATATTAACGGGCGAACAAGAGAGAGAGAGAGAGAGTGTGTGTGTGTGAGAGCACGGATGAGGTAAGAGACGCCAGCAGCCAATGGCGTAGGTGGAACTATGACGTACTCGAAAAGAGCTCGACGTTCTTACACTTCAGAAGAGCACGCATCGCGATCAATTAATCGCGAGCGATCTCGTGTGATTTGAAAGAAATTTATACGCGAGGAGCCGGCGATAGCTCGAGCCGCTCGGCTGAAAAGGGGCGACGGTTCGCCGGCCGATTCGGCGGCGTGCGCGCGGTTTAATTAAGCGCTGTAAACGGAGCGAAATGATTTACCGTTTATCGCGTCCGCCGATGTAAAGAGCCGCTGGAGCCTCCCTTCTCGCAGGAGCCCCTCTCTGGCCGGTGTCCGCGCCGATGTCGAGGAAGAAGCCTCTCGCCGTCTTTCGCCGTGCGCATTAAGAGGTCACGCTCCGGCAGGTGGCATGCGCGTGATTCACTCGGTCGCGCTCCTCAGCCTAGGCGTAACATCATCCCTATTCACTCACACGCGCGAGTTAATTGTCGCGAGAGACGTTGATTTAGGGGCCCCACTCGTTCGATCTCCCCGCGCCGAGATAATGAGAGGTGGCCACGGGGATCTAGCGTGCCTCCTTCGCCCGTGCTCCGCAGCGTCGAGAGCCGATTCGCTTTGCTAAGGGTGGACGACCGGCGCGATATTCATATACCCTCTGAGGTTCGTATTAAGAGCTGCCACTTGAAACTTGCCTCATGCGAGATGCGTAGATTTTAATTCGGAATTCGGAATCTATTCTGAATTAATTAGCGCCCCCGCTTTGACCCGTTCTCCCAATGCGCGTTTAAACGTCTAGCATACATCCGTTTAGAAACGTCCGATGGGAGCCGTTCCGATGTAATGAAACGTTTAATCGCTTAAACGGATTCTTCCGCGATACGTATACACGTTTATTTGACAACAACGCAAAAACGACTGTCCGCACGACTGCATGACTTCGCACGACTCATGCGAAGAAAAAGCGTATACATGTGATGCTGACTGTCTCCTTGCCTCGCACGATTGTCAGAAAGGGACGACGAGACTAACACGTCGCTCTTCCTTCGTACGGGCGGATTCAAAGTTAGTAAACGAATACGCGTTTTTCAAAAAAAAGTACATATAATCTCGGTTATTTTATCATATGTATTTACGAATAAATTCGCATAGGGTTTTTCCTCGCGAGTTTTGCAGAGTAATAAATATAATTAATTAGCTTCTTAAAACAACACGCTGATTTTGAATCGGCGTCGGGAGCAAAGCTCCCTGATGCGACATGTCAACGTGTTAACTCAGACTTGTCGTCTCAACTCGAACGTAGAGTGGACTCTTGATCCGTATGAGTGATGTTCCAGTCAATTAGGGCTTTCGTTTCGGTGACAGTAGCGAGCACGTCGAATTCACACTTGAATTTCGAATGAGAAGATTCAGCGCGCTGCCGAGCGGAGAATTCATTCTGTACGGACGAAAAGTCAGTCCCGAATTCCAGCGTCTCGGCGGCCGGTGTCGCGGTGCCGCCTCTCTTCGAGTGGAATTCCACTCGAAGAGATTCAGGGAGGAGAGGGGATCGATCGGACTTTTTCCAAGTGAAAATCCCGCGTGCGTGCGACGGGGGCCTCTTAATCGGCTTCGGTGCTTTCGACTCTCGCACACCATCGGCACACCTGTAAATATTTCACGATAATTCCGTCGCCGAGGTAACGGTAAACACGCGCGCGCGCGGCCGTTCAACCGTCCGTATCGCGTTTCCAGCGCGCCGCGAAACCGCGCGACGCCACCGGCGGAACGCAAAAATCAAAGCAACAGCGCCCGGCCCGATGCGAAGATGACACCGGCGCTCGCGCGGCCTCGGGGCTCCTGCCGAGAGCTCATAAATCTTCTTAAATATCTCCTCTATCTGTTCATCATCGTCCGCGCGCGGAGGCGCGGTCCCGAGTTAAGCCGCGCATCGAAACAGCTGCCGCTTAACAGTAGTTGTAATGGGCATGCAGAGTGCGCGGGAGTGCAATCAGACTTCATCTCGTTGCGGGGTTCTGACCGGGCATACATCACGCGTACGTACCTCCGGAGGCTGTCACGAGCGGGCTCCCTCATTGTTCCCCGGTTACGGCCCCCGGGACCGTCCTCTTCGCTCAGCTCGTTTTCCCACCATTTCCGCCGCCCTCCGAGGATCGAGGATTCAGCGCTTTTTACGCGCGCGGCAACGCATTAGTGCGTCAGTAGCGCCCGAGAAAAGCCCCGGCCGCCTTCCTTTGATCGGATCAACGTTACCGCGGTTCTCTCTCCTTCTCCTTCTATCCCTTTCCCGTCCGCCGTAAGATTAACAGAGAGACGTATAGGTGGACAGATCAATTCGTCACGAGCTTTGCGAAAGGGAGCAAGAAAGATACAGATACAAGCGTTAAGACGCAGCGGAAAATTATTCAGTTAAAGATTTATCGAAATATATTTAATACAAAAGACACCAAAGCTTCCGTGTCGTCTTATCTCCGCGGTTGCCTCATTGAATCAGGCTAGTAAGGCAATGGTAATTCGACCTTTTTTTCCCCCGAATAACAGAAGGATAGAAATACGGTACAAGCGAGAAAAAGGCGTGTAAGCCTCGTAGACCTAACATGTTACTGTCAGTGTTATCGACGGCGTTCCGCGGGACAGCTTCCCCCGATTCAGTCGTACACGCGCGAACCTCAGTTTTATAAACGCCGACAACGTTTACCGACACTTCTCCGGGTTGCTGAGGTGAAGAATCGCGCGATTAAGAGAACGAAAAGACACGGGTGGCAATAGTCGCAAGACGGAGTGCCGGTTTGTTTAGCCGAGCCGGTCGGCCGGCGCGCAACCGTCGAGCGGCGATAAGCCCCGCGGCGGCAACAATGTTGCCTCGATCTTGCAACAAGACCTTCCACTTCTCCGCGGTACACGATACCGACGATGCGTCTCGATCGATCGTAATCGGGACGAGCGAGGCGCGCCGCCGTGTGCTAAAGGTTAAGGAATTCTCCTCGCCGCGGCATTCTCCACGCGCGCTCGTCGTAAAGTTCTCCGAGATTTTCTCTCTCTCTCCCTCTCTTCTCCTTCCGACGCGCGGCTCAGCACCAAGGCTGCACCTCTCCACCTTCTGCCTCTACCCGAAGCCTTAGGCGAAGCACCGAAGAAGGTGAGCACACCGTGGCCTCCCGATCGAACTCGCGCCGCGAGACACGGTTGCGATCGCGTCCGCGCGCTCACGGATCTCCCTCGGTAACTCCTCTCCCGGAGTTCTTCTTCGTACCTCTCTTCGATCTCTCCGCCGCTCTCGCCTCCTCCTCGGCGTCGTACTTTCCGCGCTGTCGGTTCTTCTTCTCGGAAGAGAGCCCCGGCACGAGGCGTGCAATTGCATCGCGAAACGGCACGAGCGGTCGCGCAGGAACAGCGGCCGCTATTTATTTCGCGCGCGCGCGCTCGTCCGACGTTTTAAAGCCGCGATATGCAAATCACCGGCCCATTCTACTTAGCTATCGTAGACGCGCACTGAGAGAAATCCCACGGAAATGATAGAGCCACTATCGACCTCAATCGTATATTCTCTTCTTCCGGTGTTAACCCGAAAAGTCGCGGCGGCAATATGCGTGTGAGGTTATCGTCGCCTGTGGCAAGATTTGCTGGAAAAATCGATCTCCCGATTATGATTCTGTGGTTTACGCGATTACACAGGGTGTCACGTAATAACTCCATGCGGAGTGCATCCGGGGGATTTTTTTGGTTTACCAAATAAAGCAACTTTTCATTGATCGAAATTTCCATAAATATCCGATGGAACGTTGTTTATACAAATTATTTATATAAATAAGTTTAATTCAAGATAACGGCAAATTCAGATATATAGAGTTGCGTGATTAAATCTTTAGTGAAGTAGAAGAAAAGCGGCCCGCGTGATATTTCTAGGCTCCGATACTGACTGATAATTAACGTAGTACGCTAATTCGACAACTTTGAATAGCTCTCATTTGAACGTTATCGTTTGAAATGTTGATAAACGAAAAACGGCGCCGGTTATTCCGGGACACCCTTTAGTAACCGAAAATTTTTTTCTCACTGTATTCCTCTTATCTTTTTCTCACTTAGTCCTCTCATTTCTATCTCTTCTGCGACATCAATGTGGTAAATCGCGAAGGAACGCGTGAATGCGGCGAAATGGGAATTTCGGCTGAGAATGACCGCGCGGAGAAAAAAGTTCGGTTGAATTTACGCTTCGACATTTATTGCGCGGAGAAAAAAGTTCGATTGAATTTACCTGACAATGAACGAACCAAGCGTGTTTTGCGCGCAGGAAACGTAATTTCTGGTTCTTGTGAACCAAATTCGGCTCTTATAACCGGAAATTCCATCTCCCTCGGCCGAAATGCGTTTGGTTTACGGGCATAGCCAGAATTCCAGTGAAAGGAAGGCAGGAAATTTATTTTCACACGAAACTTATTAGCATACATATATTAAAAAAACATTTAGGGGGTTAGAAAACCCCACCACTCTGACTACGACCACGGTTCGCTTTGGTTTATCGGTCAGGTTTGAAATTCAAGCGCACTTTTTTCTGCGCGCGACACACTGGTCGGGCCGTTTCGATATTAAAATAATTTGCACCTGCGTGTGCGGTATATATTATAAATACATGCAAATTAGATCCGCAATTGGTTGGGCCGTCCATTTACTTTTCTTTCCTTTACTTGAAATGGAAACGGTTCTACCGCCGCGGCGGCATCGATCTTGTCGGGCCTGTTCGCCATCCTCCGTTTTTCTTCCCTTCCGTGCATGCACTTTACGTTTCTCTCTCCGTCTCGTTCCCTCGGCGCTCGGCACAATCACGGCGGGGCGTGTGCATATGA